GGCGAGCCGGGCAGCAGCAGAGGCAGCGGCGGCGGCGGCGATCGGTGCCCCGTTCGACCCGCTGCCGGAGCACGTCGGCGGCGCTGCGAGCCGCCAGCCGGACTCGGCGAGAGGGAGAGCGCCCGCCGCCGCGGCCGCCGCGCTGCTGCCGGGAGCCGCTCTCCGCGGAGGACTGGTGGGGCGACCCGCGAGACGGAGGCTGTCCGCCGGCCCGCCATGGCGATCGCAAGGCAAGTGCTTGGTCTCTCTGCTTTCCTCTGCCTGCCGCTCGCTCGCTCGGAGCCCATGCGCTACTCCGTGGCCGAGGAGGCGGCTCGCGGCTCGCTGGTAGGCAACGTGGCGGAGGACGCGGGGCTGGCCCCGGCGCAGCTGGCGGCTCGCCGCGCCCGCCTGGCCTCGGAGGACGGCCGGCAGCACTTTGGCTTGGACCCCGCCACCGGCCGCCTCGTGGTGGCCGAGAGGCTGGACCGGGAGGAGCTGTGCGGCCAGTCCGCTGCCTGCACGCTCCCCTTCGAGCTCGTGCTGGCCAACCCGCTGCAGTTCTTTCGGGTGGAGGTGGCCGTGGAGGACATCAATGACCACTCGCCCGTTTTCCCGGAGGAGCAAGTCACTCTTAGGATCCCGGAAAGGAGCGACCCGGGCTTGCGTTTCCCTCTGGTTGGAGCTCGGGACCTGGATGTTGGGAGTAACAGCATCCAGGCTTACAGCATTGCTCCCCAGAATGAGTACTTTAGTGTTTCCTTTGGGAATGGGGACGACAAAGATATTGAATTGGTCTTGGAAAAGGCTCTAGACAGAGAGGAGCAGGCAGAAGTGGGTTTCAGTCTCATTGCCGTGGACGGGGGCTCTCCTCCCAGGAGTGGGACCACCCAAATCCATGTTGTTGTTCTAGATGCAAATGACAATACTCCCATCTTCACACAGAAGCTGTACATTGGGCAGGTTTTGGAAAACACACCAGAGGGTTCTGTGGTTCTCAGGGTGATGGCAACCGATCGCGATGTGGGAGTTAATGGGAACGTCACCTACCAGTTTAGACAATCTGTTAGCATGAGCAACTCAGCATTTGCAATTGACCCCAGGACTGGGGAAATTAAACTCATAAAGACTCTTGACTTTGAGGTGGCAGAGAACCATGAGCTCAGTGTGCAAGCCACGGATGGTGGGGGCCTCTCAGCAATCTGCAAGGTGTTGGTGGAGGTGGTGGATGTGAATGACAATGCACCGGAGCTGATGGTCAGTTCCTTCACCAGCCCC